GCCCAGGGCAGAACCCCGATGTGCCAGGGTCACCTGCTGTCCCGCACAGCCTGCTCTCACTACCTCGCGTGCTACAGGGCCGTGGGAGAAAGTAGATAGAATGAGGGGGCTGGACAAGACCGGCACAAGGTGGGAACCAGTGCTTGGGACTTCTCAGGCTGAGTTGGGGAAGATGGGATGGAGAGAAGGTGGCCAGGTCTCAGAAGTCAGGTGCCATGACACACATGAGGAATAAAAAAAGCAAAGAAAGGTGCACTCCCCAAGGTGGCCAACCTAAGGCAGGCTGCCAGGGCCAGGTTTTTCCAACTAAGGCAGTGCAGCCGTTAGTGAGTCCTGGGTTGCTTGCAGGAGGTTGGAACCGCCATTCTTCTCCCTTCTCAAACTAGAGGACAACAGTGTGGTGGAGCGGCCTCCAGGCACCTCCCTGGCATGGCCTCTTTCTGGGCGCTCACAGTTAGGGGTCAGCCAGGACAGTGCAGACAAAAGTGATAGAAGGTACTTCCAAAGCTGATAACAACCTCCCCCCACACTCAGTGATTCTGCTTCCTCCTCCTCCTACTCTTCCACCTCACAGATTCTCCCTCCCTCCCCCTTTCTGCCTTGATTCTTTGTTGAAGATGGGGCCATCATAATATGGAAAGAGCTTGGAACCCTGCAGAGGTAGAAAACACAATCACAGCTTCCTGACCTGCAGCAGACTAGGAAATGAACAAGCAATAAACTTTGATTCTGTTAAGCCACTGTGATGTAAGGGCTGTTTGTTTTAGCACCTAGCCAAGCATTGCCCTGACTAATGAAAATGACAATGAAATGGAATGGGGCAGACAGGAAGGAATATAATGGATACGTTAAATTAGAATAGAACAGAAATTTTTAGTGTGCATTGCAGGCAGTGAAAAGTAAATACTATTTGGTGGAATATTTGTTTCAGTTCACGTGGCCGAGAAGCAATAGGTACCTACCCCTTTAAGGAGGGCACTGTGGATTTTCTAGCCATCCCAAGATATGGCTATTAGTAGTGGAAGTTTTCAACTTGTCCTTTTCTTTTAGTCCCTATGGTCTGTCTGAGGCTAGCACTGTCCCCCAGAATCAAAGCAGAGAGAACACACATGTAAAGGCTGCGCAATCAGTGTTTCATTCTTGGAACCACAGTGATTGGTTCAGAGGTGAACACGGGGCCCATTGTTGGTCCAATGAGAGCTAAAACTGGGACTTTGGCTGGAGTTCTCATTAAAATAACTGTTTGGGGGCAGAGTTTGTGGTACAGGGGTTAAGCTGCTGCTTGGGATGCCCATGTGCCATATCAAGTGCCTTGTTTGAGTCCTGACTTCTCCACTTCCAATCCAGCTCCTGCTAACGTGCCTGGAAGGCAGAAGAGGATGGCCCAAATGCTTGGGTTCTTGCTACCCATGTGGGAGACCAGAATTGATTTCCAGGTTCCTAGCTTCTGCTTAATCAAGCTCCAGCTGTCGCAATTATTTGGGAAGTGAACCAGCAGATGGGAGGTCTCTCTCTATCTCTCTCTGCCACTTAAATAAATAAGTAAGCAAATCTTTTAAAACGTTTTATTTCCCCTGGTTTTGTAGCTGTGGATATATAAATCTGAAATAGCTGGTAGCTGTCTTCCTGTCACAGGGGAGAACTTGCCTGAAAATAGAAGCATCATCAGAGAAGGCAGAGATAAGTGATGGGAACAAGAGCTAGTCCTGATGATATCACTCAAGCCCCTAGATCTAGCCATGCCTGAAGTGACCCCTATAGTTTTTAATTGATTCTATAGATTTACCTTTTTTGCTTCTTCTAGTTTCAGTTGGGTGTTTGACAGTTGTAACTGAAAGAATCCTGAGAATGTGTCTTCTACATGATAAAATGTCACTTCCTTGGGAATATGCCCCCCCCCCCCCCAAGAAGGATTCAGGTGGAAAACAGCTGATTCTCAGGCCTCTCCCAGCTTTGCCAAGGAAAAGTGGTTTGAATCATTGAAGAATCAAGCATCACCATATGGAAAATCCAGAAGGTAAAGTGAGGGAGAGCCTTGTGTTTTCTTGTTTTCTGTTTTGAGAAGATGAAGAACAGGTGAATACCAGTAGAAGGACAAATATGCTTCTCTTCATTTGTTTAACAAATATTCATTGAACACCTTCCATGAGCTAGGAACTGGGTGGAGTCCTGGAGATGATTAGACAGTAGAGATATTGTTGAGTAACCACAGAACGAATTCTTAGGAAGAGCTTGCTACACATCAGATACAGTTCTGAGGACCTGATGCCTATTAATCTTATTGATCCCTGAAATCTATCCTATCAGGAAGATGCTATTACCATCACTCATTTGACAGGTAAGGGAAACAGAGGCACTGTGAGGTAAGGCTATCAAAAGACAGAGCTAGTGTTGGATCCTTGGGAGACTGACTGCACGTCTAGGTCTTAAAATGATGGAACTGTACTGCCATGGTCCTTGCTCCCCCTGAGCTCATACTTACCCTACAGAGGGCCATCCTCCAAGCCTTAGGAGCTCTACTCTGAGTCCCTTCTGCTAGAATTCAGTGTAAGAAAGTTTAACTGTGACCTGAACTGCAACATCACTTCTGTTTTAGGTACTGCTCAGTTTACCTTTCTGACTTTAGTCAGATAGCAAGAGGTGTGACCTTGGTGGAGAAGGAGGAATAAAGGGTTACATGGAGACACAGTTCAACTGAATGTTTAGGAACACAGTTTTTGGACCGCCATAAGTTCTGTGATGTGCTCTGCCGTTTTCCAGCTGTTTGGCCTCATAGAAGTCGTTGACCCTCTCTGAGCTTGTTTCTTCATCCTAGAAAAAGGGGTAATTATAATAAAGGGCCCAGGGCATAGTCAGTACCCTAGTTGTTGCTGTGGCTCTTCCTCTTTGGCTCTCAGTGCTTCTTGATTAAATGAGGAGCTGGGCAGGGTGCTCTCTGAGGTCTCTGCTGGCATACGTTTGGGATGCTGATTTGGGAAGGGCAGAGTCCTATTGGCATGGGTGTTCTTAAAGAATGATTTTCTGGTGTGTTTTTGTAAGATTGGGCTTTGCTTACCAGTGTGAAACTGCCAGGGGAGTATGTTCAGCTTGTTGTGTGACATCATCACTTGGTGCCCATAACGGTGATGAAATCCCGTATCCCACACTGGGGAGGAAGGGAATTCCTGGCATGGATGCCCCGATCCAAACCAGGGCCTTCTCCTTTTCTCGGGGTGGGCACTGCCCTTGGTTTCCTAGTTCCTGGACTCCTCTGATGTTCCTAGAGACACACCCAACCCCAAGCTGGAGGTGGTGGCATTGTGGGGGGCAGGGAGGAGGAGAGACAAAAGGAGGGGGAGCAGGGGGTGGGTGAGGGTGCAACAAGGGCAGGGGAGTGCGGGGAAGAGTGGCAGAGAGAGAGATCCAGGGATGGAGCAGGAGCATGTGAGCGGAAGAACAAGGAGGGGGAGAGGCAGGAGAAGAGATGGGGGAGGACAGAGCAGGGGAAGGCCAGAACCAAACCCCGAGAATACAGCCAGAGAGCTGGGCGGGCCCATTGGCAAAGGCAGCTGAGGCCCCACCCTAAAATGCTCACCCTGTTCTAGTAGCACTGGGTCTCTTAGCCCCCCTGTTAGAAGCCATGGAAGAATTCCCTGCATAGGAGACCATACTGGGTTGAGGAAGTTAATGGCATACGATGCTTCTGAGAAGCAAAACTATCATGATGGCGTTGATTTTCTGTCTGCTCTGTGATCTGTTGTATTCTTAAAATGCAAGAGCAGAGTGAGTACTAACAAAAGTAGGTGAAAGAGACTAAATGCCATTACTCCTCAGGAGACACTTTGGTAGGGTGACTTGTCTTTCACTGATTTACTTAGATTTGTGGTTTTACCTACCAGTCACTCATCTAGCACTGACTGTTTGTCACGGCCCACATTAGGTGGATGGGTTTTCAAGATAACATAGACATAGAACCCCTGTCCTACAGAATAATGAAAGTGCAGTGCCTCTCTTGACACTCCTTCCTTCTCAAGGTAGGGGAACATGTCCCCTCCCCCTGAATCTTATTTGGCCTCAAGGACTCTCAACGGATAGAATGAAGTGGATGTAACTTATGAAGTTGACTCACAAAAGGCAATACAGCTTCCCTTTGCTTTCTGGAAGGCTCACACTTGGGGAATCCTAATTGCCATGAAAGAAGTCTGATTTCACACAGGTAGGGCTACCAGAGTGTGAGAAAGTAGCTACTGAAGAGGCAATGTGTAAGTGTTCAGATTAACAGACCCCGCGGATGTCCCAGCCAACAGGCAGTATCAACTGCCAGAGGTGCGAGTGAGGGCTCCAGGTGATCCCAGTGCCAGCCTTTCCGTCACCTCCAAGCCCTGAGTCTTCCTGGCTCCACAGGCAAAGTGGAATTACAGAAGGATTGGAGCAGGGCAGGCACACGGAACTTTGTCTTCACGAAAGACATCATTGCTCCCAGGGTAGAGGGTGATGTGGATGGAGTTGAGCAGAAGGAGATAGGAGCTTCTGCGTGACAAGGACCCCTGGGCCAGAAGCTGACCAGACTTGACTTACATATACCTCTCCTGTGTCCTCCTGACCCCACTAGCTGCAGTTGCTCCGTAAACATTTGTTAGAGGAGTAAACACAAGTAGAATTCGCTGCTTTCTGAAGACTCCCCATGAATGTGAACAGGCAACTGTGCAAGACCCCAAATTGTGCTTGGATAATGACCTCCTGCTGTAGAACATGGAGTCTTTTTTTGTGACAAGGTAAAAGAAAAGTGTTGTCACTCTGCCTCAGTCATTCTAGGTAACAAAAGTCTCGTTATTTAGTTAGCACGATGGAAACAGACCATCAAGTTTCTCCAACACCCACAGGTTTTGTGTGGAGGCCAGAGACACGGGAGCAGTAGTCAGATGATTTTGACCATCATACCAAAAATGCTACAGATACACATTTTCTATCTTCCATTCCTGTTTCTCCCAGTTCCCGGGCCCATTCAGTTATTCACTCACCTTTGTGAATGCAAGGTCCTGGGGGAGGTGAGATGGTGGCCTTGGTTTGGGGGCCTCCAGCAGCAGATCCAGAGACAAAGACCCAAGTGCAAGTAATATATTCGGAAGGGGGTCCCAAGAAGCACTGGGTAGGGAGTGGAGAACTGAAAAAGGAAGGGCATGAATCCGTGAGTGGGTGTGCTAATGAGCAAGTTTCCACTGTGTGCCATTGGAGAACGGTCCCCTGGGGACTCTGGGGGCCAGTGCGGCCCGCAAGTCAGAGTTATTCCACCCAGGGGTGCGAGAGCTGGCCGGTTTCTCCATCTAATCTGTGCTCTGTCATTGTTAGAGGGCTGTTTCCAGGGACATTAACTCTCCAGTAATTCCAGGTGGCCCTTGGCATCAACCTAGAGTGTTCTCCAGGAGTTGTGCGCATTCGCAGTAAGCAACCTGGGGTATATAGAGGGAGGAGCACCCAAAAGGGCTCCAGTAGGATCTGATAGATCAGATTACAACCCCAGGAAGGACACATCCGGGGGCACTTGAGGAACATGGTTTAGTTGCCTGGTTCAGGGAGGAGAGTGGGCGTGACAAACACTGGCGTCCGTCCAATGCATGGCTGCTTTCAGCAGTACATTGACATGCAAGTGGCAGGATCCTGGGTTCGTATCTTTGAGTCCCATTTCAAGTACAACTAAGGTGACCACTCGGGGCTTCAGCCTACTTTCTGGCCTGGAGGGTAATACTATTGCATGGCAGCCAGACTTTAGCATCTCCGTAATTCCCTTCAGCCTTCCTCCAGTCTCATTGAGTAAGCACTGAAACCACAGAAAATTCAGATGACTACCAGCCATGCAGCCAGACAAGTCACCCAGCCTACTCTAGGCCTCGAGTTCTAAGACAAAGCCCAGTTGCCCCTCTTCAGAGACCCTGGAACCCTGATTGGCAAACCAGTGAGTCTTAGAATCCCCCTGGGGGCCCAGTTTTCAAAGGCAGATTCCTGAGCTGCACTCCCTGACTCAGGAGGTCTAGAGCAATGTGCATTTTTCCACCAGAATCTCAGATGGTTCAAAGTGAACATTGACAAGTGCAGTTTTAGAAGCTGCTTGACATAGACAGAGGAAAAGGAAGAAAATAAAGGAGGAAAACGACAGGCAGGAAGTAAAGTGGTGAAGAGATGGAAAAGAGGAGGAATTTTTTTCTTTTTTTTAAAAGATTTTATTTATTTATTTGAGAGGTAGAGTTACAGAGAGAGAGCGAGACAGAGACAGAGAGAGAGGTCTTCCATCCGCTGGTTCACTCCCCAAATGGCTGCAATGGCTGGAGGTTGGGCCAATCCCAAGCCAGGAGCCAGGAGCTTCTTCCAGTTCTTCCATGCGGGTGCAGGGGCCTGATCACTTGGGCCATAGTCCGCTGCTTTTCCAGGCCATAACAGACAGCTGGATGGAAAAAGCAGCAGCCAGGACTTGAACTGGTGACCATATGGGGTGCCGGCACCACAGGCAGAGGCTTAGCTCATTATGCCACAGCACTAGCCCCAAGAAGAGGAATTTGAGAGAGCCAAGAGGACCCATGAAACTAAGTGGGTGGCCACCAGATAGTGACTTCTATAGCAAACAATTACTTTAAATCTCTGAGCATTGAGAAGCAGAGTTCTCTCTAATAAACTCTGGAGGCAAACATGAGTATTAGAAGCTATGTGGGCCGGCGCTGTGGCTCAATAGGCTAATCCTCTGCCTTGCGGCACCAGCATACCGGGTTCTAGTCCCGGTCAGGGCGCCAGATTCTGTCCCGGTTGCCCCTCTTCCAGGCCAGCTCTCTGCTATGGCCCGGGAGTGCAGAGGAGGATGGCTCAAGTCCTTGGGCCCGCACCCCATGGGAGACCAGGAGAAGCACCTGGCTCCTTGCTTCGGATCAGCGCGGTGCGCCGGTCACAGCGCGCCAGCCGCGGCGGCCATTGGAGGGTGAACCAACGGCAAAAGGAAGACCTTTCTCTCTGTCTCTCTCTCTCTCACTGTCTACTCTGCCTGTCAAAAAAAAAAAAAAAAAAGCTATGTGATCTAAGGGAGTAGATTAACATTATGGATTTTCTTTCAGCTGGAGGGGATCTCCAGGTACTCCCACCCCCACTCCCACCCACCCCATCCCCAAATAAAAACCTGGAGCTCATGCCTCTGGGGGATACCGGGGGACAGGCAAGGCCCGGGAGTGCCTGATTACATGGTATGCATTCCACAGTGCACGTGCTCCTCAACTCACGACGGAGTGGCATCCTAATCAACCCATCAGACGCCCAAAATATGGTAAATGGAAAATGCATTTAATAGGCCTCACCTATCAAACATGTGGGTAGAGCAGCACAGCACACTACAGAGTATCAGTGGTGCTACTGCCTGGTGCCATGAGACATCACTACTGTGTGTCACTAACCCTGAAAAAGATCAAAATTCAGAACTCAAAGTACAGTCTTTACTGAGTGCATGTCACTTTTATACCATCGTAAGTCAGAAAATAGTAAGTCAAACTGTTGTAAGTTGAAGACCATTCATATACAAAAGCATCCATTTTTCAAAAGGTAGTTTTTTTTTTCCCTTAGGTGCCCCCTGCAAAAAAATTAAATGCCTCTAGAGCTACTTATAAGACTTCAGAATTGGAGAAAAATTCCCATGGATGTGCTCAGAGACTGTACGAGTCAAGTTTAGGCAGTGCAGGACAGGCTTCTGATAAAGATAGGTCCTCTGTCTGCACACGTGTGCATGCCTCAGAATGACCAGGGAACCTTGGCAAAACACATGGCCTGGCCCGGTCTCCAGAGGATCTGATTTCAGCAGGTCCGAGGTGGGGCCCAAGCATTTGCTAATGCTGCTGCTGTAGGGTTCATACTCTGAGAACCACTGGGTTAGACCAAAGTCCAATGAGTAGACCAAGGTCCAGAACATCGAAGGAGCAAAATACATGAAGCTGTGTCCAGAAACCAGGGCAACAAGAGAAGATATCTGAATGGCCAGCACCCCCTTACCTTGCTTGAATGACCGCTTCTACCTCTTCCCAGTGTGCTTGCTTCTAGCGGGCAAGGCACTTCCTGTGGTGATACCATAATTCTCCACGGTACTTCAAGATGAAAGTGATATATTTATAGCTGCTCTATTAAAAGACACCACATAAAGCGGGAAGCTCTATGTCAACTCCTGGCTTAGAATTCAGGTCATTCGCGGCCTCTGAAGAGAGTACACACCTTCATACAAGTAATCAACTCTCTGGCCACCCTTAGTTCCACCCAGTAATTTTCAAAGCTTGGGATAGGCATGATACACTGTCTCATATTTCCAGCCCCTTGCAGAATCCTGCAGGCCATTTTTTAAGCTGCCCTAGCATTAAGGCAGTTTTGCTGGACATAAACCTCTCAGGACATATGAGTTCAGCTGGAGTAGAATTACTTCTCAGAATATACAAAAAACAAGATCTCCTTAATCCTGGGCTATAAATTAGACTGTTGGAAAGGAACATGGTACCGCTTTTGAGGACACCAGGAGTGACTGACTGACAGGGACAGGAGAAGGGACACTTCTTAATAAAGCCTCGAGGGGCTTTTGTGGGTTTTGTTGAGCCCACCCTTCTACCCAGAGCAGAGTGCACACCTGCATTTGAATTTGCAGATATTCTGGTTTCTAAAGTGTAGGCTGGGTTGCTGTTGCAAATTGGCGTTAAGAAGGAGACATTGAAGGGGAACCTCTTGCAGAAGCTCTTCATAACAATTTGGGAGCTCCCAGGCTTCTGTGAGAAGGCCACCAAATCAGTGGGCCCTCTTTCCCGCAAACTGCACCAACAGCATTCTGCATGCACTTAGTTCCACAGACCCCTTGCGTTCAGAACTCACAGCTCATACCAAAGGTTAATCGTAGTGAAACTGAAGGGGCTGGGGTAGGAGGAGGAAGGGGGCAGAATAATGCCAAGGGACAAGTCTCAGCCAGAGCAGCCTCCCTAGGAGTTTAAGTGACATCACACCAGCTGCTGGGACAAACAGTTCTCCACCTTGCAGGGCCTTGCTACCTAACAGTTGCTTGTGGGTGTTCTTGCTCAGTAAGTGGACGGTGATTCAGGGACTATGGTTTCTTCCACCCAGAGCCTCATCATCCTGGACCTGTAGCCCTAGGAGAATGACCTCTGAGAACAGGTACTTCTTTAAAACCTGAGCCTAAAAGGGCCACACATCACTGCCAGTCAGATTTCATCAGTGAGAACTGGTAATAGGCCACATCAGGATGGTAGCAGAGCTGGAGAATGTAGCCTTGTCTGTGAAGCGACATCGCCACATCATGGAGAGGAGAGCTTGAGGTTTCGGTGGCCAGCAAGCCAGACTGCTTCCTCCCACTGCATGCAGGCAAGAGCAGATGAAAATCAATGGATTTTCATCTGCCTTAGAAGGAAAAGCAACCAAGAGACATTATGCAGCCCCTGGTGTATGTAGAATAGGACAGCTGTGGCCCCATCTTGTTGTAGCAAGTAGATGACGTTGCAAACAACTGTTTGTCAGCTTCAGAACTTTCTTCCCTTCTCTCTAGCTCTACCCTTCCTTTTGCCTACTTCTAAACAAAAATGCCAGTCCCAGGAGCAATTTCCCATTTATAATGGATGCGTTCATACTCAGTCATTTGAATCAGAATTTGGTTGATTAACTGAAAAAAAAAGTAAACCAGAGAATCGTCTTAAAAATGATACAAACTGTAAACATTCTATTTAACTTGAAAGATGTAAATACACATTCATTCACTAAGCTTTAGATGTGCATTGAAATCATTTCCTTTTAATACAGATCTGCTGAGAGGAGTTGCAGGCTTTCCTTCCTGCATGAGCTTTACCTAATATGCACTACAATTTCAGCTTTAGTGTCTTGAAAGCAGAACAAGATACTTGTGAAGTGAGCTCAATGTATAATCCCTCTGATAGTTATTTTAAATTTTATTTATTTTTATTTTCATTTTATTTGAAAGGCAGGAGGATAAAGAGAAGGAAGGGAAGGGAGAGGGAGATAGAGGGAAGAAGGGGGAAGAGAGAGAGAGAAAGAAAGAAACAAACAAACAAACAAACACACACACACATTCTATCCTACTCTTCCAAATGCCTGCAGCAGCTGGGACTGGGTCAAGTCAAAACCAGGAGCCCTTAACTCAATCCAGGTCTCCCTTATGGGTGTCAGGGACCCAACAAGTACTTGAGCCATCACCTCTTCCTTTCAGGATGTGTATTAGCAGGAAGCTGGATTCTGAAGTGAAGTTGGGACTAGAATCCAGCTACTCTAATGTGGGATGTGCATATCTCAAGTGGTAGCTTAATTGCTGCACCAAATGCCATCCCTGCCCCCACTCCAATTGTTAAATGACTTTTTTCTATCTTTTACAATTGTTTGGCACACATGTAATTCAGTAGTATTTTAGCTACCTGCTACTATTGGATCTTTCTGAAATTTTCAATTTCGTTTCCATAGAAACAACTGCTTTTTGCATTCATATTTCATCAATTCACACATGTAAATTGCTTAATTTTAATAACAAGTACATGGAACAATTGTCATAAAGAGATTTGGAAGCAAACATGACCAACTTTTGTAGGTGTAGAACTCAGCCAGTGAGAACAGATGTGGGGCTTAGTAGTGCGTGGCTCTGAGCATTCAGTGGGCCATGCACCTCAGTCAGCATGTTTTGCTGAAGGAATAGGGTCTAGGGAGCTTGGATTAATTTGGTGTGATTACCAGCTCCCAGGATAGGCCACAGTGATCCTTGCCTTTTGGTGTTCACACCCTTTGCAGTTTCCTTCTGTATTGAATTCCTCGCAGCTAGGTCCGTTGTGTGACTGCAGAGGATCTGTCAGGAAAGCTGTTGTAGCTTTTGATCTGCTCTCCAGACCATGTGTGAGGTGGTTGATCAGGTCAAGGCTGTGATCATGAAGGAGAAAGGACTATGTGAGGATAAAAATAGAAATGTTGGCCTTATTAGCACCAAATTCAACCAAAGTAACAAATTTAGACTACATGGTAAGATAACCAAAGATTTTTTAAAATTCATTTATTTTCATTTAATTTGAAAGGCAGTTAGAGAAAGAGAGAGACAGAGACAAAGAGACTGAGAAAAATCTTCCATCTACTGGTTTACTCTCCAAATGCCTGCAACAACCAGGGTTGGGCCAGGCTGAAGCCAGGAACCAACAACTCAATCTGGGTTTTCCATGTGGGTGGCAGGGACCCAAGTACTTGGGCCATCACCTGCTGCCTCCCAGGGTGCACACTGGCAGGAAGCTGAATTGGAAGCAGGCTATCTGGGAGTCAAACCAGGCACTCTGATGTGGAATGCAGGCATCCCAAGCAATGATGCAGGCATCCCAAGCAGGTGTACCACAGCACCCGTCCCGTGCAATGTGTTTTGTTATACAAAATGTAGTCCAGGACCAGCAACCTTGTATCATGTCAGAGCTGGCTAGAAATTTAATATCTCATGGCCCACTTCAGACCTACTGAGTGAGAATCTGCATTCTTATATGAGTCCAGGGTTTGCATGTGGATTTCCAAGTCAGAGAAGCACTTTGCTGAAGCATATTTGTGTGGCGACTTGGGAACTGAAGGGCAGACATTCTAGAAGGGTTGCTTCTGGAGAGGGTTTCCCTTTTCTGGAGGTGGATTCCAAATCTGATAGGAACACCATGGAATCAATTCCTGAACTGGGGCAGACTGGATTTCACGTCTTCTAAGAGTAACTCTGGTTTCCAGTACTCTGGTGACCTATTCTGTGATCATCACATCCGATTTCATCCTGCCTTAGACACCACACAGTATGTCCCCCAGGAGCCTGAAGTCGAGTGGCGCCTTCCTCTTTCTTCCTATCCCTCCCACAGTCTTGTTTGCTTTAATAGGGCAAATTCATGCAAACCCAGCTATGTTTTATCTCTTCTTGAGGATGCACACATGGCTCCAGGGAGAGCAGCCATAGTTCTCTAGGCTGCCTAGGACCGGCAGCTTCCTGAGAGGATGAGAAGGCAGCCTGCTGCCCCCTGTCATTTACATCCTGAGGTCCTCCATCAGGGTGTGTGAGACTGAGCGGGAAGGCAGGAGTTGGAAGGCAGAAGCAGGAGGCTGGAGGAGTCATTAATTATGTTATCACAAAAAATATTTGCTGCTTTTTCTTAACATTACAGCTACCATTGCTGCTGGTGGTGCCCTTTTATTTGTCCAGGGGGGTTTGCTCCCATTAGATTAGATTAAGTGTCTCATCTAAGGCACAATAACAGATTTGGCCCTGTGGCTTAGCTGCTGGCTGTGGTTGACTGATACCCAAGCTTTTGACTCCCTGCTGCGTATCTAAGCGGTACAAGCTGCAGTCAATGCATTTAATCTACATAAAAAGAACCCAAATTGCACGTTAGCCTTTTTGAGCCCAGTAATCAGGTCCCCCCTTCCCACTGTACGCTCTTCAGGACAATTTGAGGCACTCTTGTGTGATCCAGAGAGGTTGCAAAAAAATTTTTTTTCTGGGGCAGGTAAAAAGAAAAGTCTTTTGCATTTTAATTGCACTTGATCTGCTCATTGAATGACCCCTGTAATTTATATATTGTTCATAGTTAGTGCTTTCTGCAGTCCTGCTGTGCGGCTGATAACGTAATTCATACACGCTCTGTGGGCAGTGGCGTGGGCTTGCTTTTCTTTCTGAGCTTGCAGAATTCTCTAGCTCATCCTGAGCTGCTGTGACTGATGTCAGCCACTATGTGCTTACGCAGGTGTAGTGAAAAGGCCACTCACTGAGCCCCAGCCCACTCCTTTGTTTACCTTTAAAGATTGCCTTTTCCTTTCCAGCCGTCCATGCTACTCCCAGCCCCTCTGGCTGGACTCAAGGAAGCTTCCTCCACACCCTTCCTGGATCATGCGGTTAATTGACTTAAACCAGAGCTCTGAAACAAACAGAAAATGCGGGTAGTGCCCACTGGCAGGCTAACCGTAGAGACCATCAGTAAGTGTAAAGGGGATAATAAATAAGGATGGGGAGATGGCTCTTTGTAAAACTTTGGAGTCCATTAGATGCCGAGCTCTTTGGTACTAGAGCCAGGCCATTTTTGTGATTGGAAAAATATTCTAAGCACTTAAG